CTTCCCGCCGCCTCGTGTCCCCAAGCTCTGCCCGCTGCACTCGCGTCCCCTCAGCCGCTTCGGAGCGCGCCGGAGCTCCACGCGTGTCCACCAGAGGGAGCCAACGAGCCACGAATCGGCTCTGCCGCCGACCACGGGCACCGGGCCAGGAGGAGCGTGGAGCTGCCACCCCCCGTACGGCTGTCCCATCGGAACCCCACCTCCAGCTGCCCCATATCCAGGGAGAAACCCCATGAGGCTGCTCCAAATGTGCCTGAGCAGCCCCGGTTCGCATCTCTGGTTATAGGCGTTCTCCAAGTCCAAATTGCTGCCTGGCATTACAACCGAGCCCAGGGAAGCAGCTCCTCTCCCAGCGCCTTTAGGGGCTGCAATTAGCGTCAGTTTATGCAGACACAGAGCAGAATGGGAGGGTTGAGAAGGATGCTCCTGGTGCTCTCCCATCATCTCTCATGTGCTCACAGGTTCCCAGGCTCTGTGAGTGGGGTGGGAATAGCCACCAGATGGGAGCAGGGGGAAAAGCAGAGGAGAAACCTCACTGGTGACGCTGCACTGTGCCACAGGAAAATCCCCCCCATTTGCTGAAGATTTGCTCAGTTATTTACAGCCTGCACTTGTGGCAGCCACATGGGGTGGGATTTGCATCAGTCCTGTGTGAACTGGAAGCTTTATTTTGGCTGAACACAAGTGGGTGGCATCGGGCTGCCGCTCAGGCCTGCTGCCATCAGCCTGGCACAGCCAGGAAGGAAATCCCATCCAAGTACATGGATGTACACATGTCCTCAGCACTCTCCTCCGGAGCTGCTGGCAAGCAAAAGAGCTCAGCCTGGCCCCATCCCAGCACCATCTGTGGGGGAGATCCAGGACTGTAGGAATGGGCAATAGGGCAGGGTGTGGTTGCTGCCCCCATGCTAGAAGAGGAAGTGGCAGGATGGGATGACCAGCTGAATGTGTTTCCTTTGCAGCCAACAGATGCAAGCTGTGCTCCAAGCATCTCCTCCAGCCCACGGGAACTTCATTCCCTCATCTACCAGAAGCCACAGCATTACCGTTCTTGCTGCTGCAGTTTCGGACTGGCAGTGATGCTGTGTACCCAGCCATCACTCTCTTGCATGGAGTAACTTGATGAGGCTGCTGAGATCTGATTTGACCATGAGATGTAGGATTTGGCTTTCACTGTGCTACAGGTGGGATGCTCCATTGATTACTCTGCATCCTCTGAGTGTGGAAATCGGGCTAAGAGCTTCTAATCTCTATCCACTTGGACAGAATTACCATCCCTAATTTTTCATCCCTTGGGTGTCCCCAAGGCTCAGCTAACACCTGGAGCTGCCTGGGGTCTGCGGTGCCCCAGAGTGGATTCCGTGTGGACATACTAACATGCATGGGTTCATTGAGCCTGTTAGCATCCCCTAACATAGAATCATTAAGTTTGGAACAGACCTTGAAAATCATCAAGTCCAGCCATCAGCCCACCCCACCATGCCCACTGACCACATCCCTCAGTGCCACATCCACACGGTTCATGAACACTTCCAGGGCTCATGAGTTCATCACCTCCCTGGGCAGCCTGTGCCAGTGCCCCACTGCTCTGAGCAGATGCAGGGCCGGGCTTTGTGGGACCCCATCTCCACCATCTCCACATCCCTGTCCCTCAGCCTGGCCATGTGCCGGAGCAGGGTGCACACGGAGATGCTCTGCAAAGGGTTCCAGGGGCACACACAGATCCCACTGTTCACTCCTCTCCCTCTGGCTTCTGTCCCTACTTGCTGCCGTGCTGTGCTTCATGGTGATGTTGTTGCTCTTTATGGCTGGTGGGGCTGATCTTGAGTGAGTCATTATGTGGCAAATGGGATCCAATCACAGTGACATTATTTCCTCGCCCTGTGTTCTTTGCAAATGAGATTTTGCAGAACTCAGAGCATTTATTTTTTTTTTTCCCTTCCAGCCAAAGGCCTTTTCCCAGCCCCATTTAAAAGCTCACAAATTGGGTGTGGGATAGAATGAATATTTACCACGGGGCTCACAGGGCAGTGAGCTCATAAACACGCTGGCAATCAATCCTGGCAGAGCAGCCGCACCTGGAGTGTGCCGGTGCATGCAGAGCTGCAGTGAGTGAGGGATGGGGAGAGGCCATCCCTGCTCCCCAGTTCTCATTTCTCTGCTTTGGTGACTCACTCGAGAGAAGGTTTGAAAAGGAATAAATAGAGCCCATAAAGTGTCTTGCTGATGCTTGGGAGGATGCCCTGGGTCTGTGCTCTGTTTCAGTGATCCAGAGGAGGTTGTGCTGGAGCTGAGTGATCCCCAAAATGCTGTGGGTTGGGCAGCACATTCTTGGCTGACGGGATGCTCGCTGGGATCAGAACCAGGACCTCTTTGCCAAGAGCAGATCTAGGGCAGGAGATGGGGTTCCATCCCGGTGCTCTCTGGTGTCATGGGCTTTCTCCCTGGGAGGCCCTTTCCTGCCCATGGCTGAGAGCATCCCCAGGTCCTGATGGAGCCCTGTAAAAGCCCTGCACTCCTGCCAGGTGCAAAGGCACTTGTCTTTGCCGGCCCTGATTAGCAGAATGATGGTTGCCATGGAGCCTCAATTCCTGCTCTGCACCCCAGCAGACCCAGGGGGAGGCACACGTGGAGTAGATGCCAATTGCACTCTTCCCAGAAAGCTGATTGCTTCTATCCTAGCAAACATCTAAATGGGCCTTTCATTCATTTCCTTTCTCCTTTCAGCCCGGTTTGGGGGGAAAAAAAGAAATGTCCTCCCTAGGATCTCACAGATGGGCTGGGAGGGGGCTCACAGGGAGACCTGGGGCAGAGCTTGCCGGGTACCAACCTGCATCCCGTGGGATCCCACACCACTGCAGAGCTTACAGTGTCCCCTGGCGGTCACGGGGACAACGCAGGACAAATGCTCCTTAATAACTTTATCAATGACATCGACAGTGTGAAGCCAGCAAGGAGTGAGCCAGGCAGGGTTAATGCAATAAAGTGCCTGATGAGGGGAATGGGATGAAGGGCCGTGCCCCATACGCAGCTCCTCCTCTTCACGGAGCAGTAATGGCAAAGGAGTTGCCATCTTCTGATGATTTCATTTATCAGAAAATTGAAAAGTGGAATGGATTGCTCTGAAGTGTTGTTGGGCCCACGGGGGATTGTAGCAAGAAACAGATGTTGAGGGATAAAAATGGGAAGCAGCGTGCAGTTGTTGGGAGGCATGAAGCCTTCCCTAGAGCCTTGGTGGTGGAGAGGTTTTCAGGAGCTCTCCCTCCTTGAGGCAGCCTCTGTGAACATGGACCCATCCCAACCTCGGGTGTGGATGGGAAGAACGCAGCCTGGGCATCAGTCAGGAGCAGGGAGAGAAACCTGTGCCTCCACCAGGCCAGCACTGCCCAGGTGCAGGTGCTGAATACAATGAGTCGTGCTGGGGCTCAGCCTGGGTGCAAGAGGTGGCACAGGGCAGGAGGCGTAAGGTCTGTCCCAGTAACTCTGTCCTGCCTGCTCTTTCCCACCTCCTTCTCCAAGACTCCTGCCTCGCCTGCTCAAACCCAGCTCTGCTGGATTCTCTCTCAGCTCCATCCTCTCCATCTTGTGCACAGCCAGGATGGAAATGAGATGGGATGGACTGAGGAAGGTCCCCAAGATGATAACACTTTTCAAGGTCCCACCTCGAGTGCTGGGTCCCTGGATCCCTACCAACGCCTTGATATCCTCAAGGGGACAAAGGGATGGTGCTGGCAGTGGGTGCATGTCTCTAGCTGTGCAGCCCAAATGCCATGGAGCCACAGCAGAGCAGAGACACTCAAACCCAAGCTTCTGCGGTGGGGGGACAAGGGGAGACCCCTTGGTCCCTGGAAAATCCTGGCAGCCTTCAGCCCTGCCTGCCAACTGGAGGCAGCAATGCATTGTGGAACTGGAGGCAGGAGCAGGGGTTGTGGGGGCTGCTGGAGCCACCCCCAGAGATGACAACCACATGTTCCAATGGAGCCACCGGGGCACGATTTGGGCTTAGAGGTAAGGCTGGGTGCTCAGCTGCTCCTCCAGCTAGAAGTTGGGCTGAAACTGATAAAAGAAAAGAAAAGAAAAGAAAAGAAAAGAAAAGAAAAGAAAAGAA